AATTGTGTTAATTATACAAATAGAGCGTTATGTTATTTAAGAACAAATGAAAATGAACTTGCATTAACAGATAGTTTCAATGCATTACAAATTGATCCTTCTAATCCAAAAGCATGGTTTCGTCATGCAGTAGCATCTGCTAATTTAAAAGATAATAAAACAGCACTACTTGATTTAAGAAGAGCAATGACGTTATCATCTGATGGAAGTATTACATCATTATATAATCAATTAAAGAAAGAAGAATATCCAGGAAGGTGTTGTGGAGATTTAGTAATTCCAGAAAGTAAAATAAAGAATGAAGAACAAGAATATAAAGGGGAAATAACATTTAGAATATTAAAAGAATTTATTGAAGAAGGGAAATATCCAAAGACATTAATACGTTCAATAATTAAGAAATCAAAAAAGATTTTAGATGAAAGAAATGCTATTAATTATATTAATTGTTCAAATATTCGAATAATTGGTGATATTCATGGACAATTTTCTGTTGTTTCAAGAATAGCAGAAGAAATAGAAGAAAATCAACAATGTGTTTTATTTAACGGAGATTTAGTAGATAGAGGATCAAGAGGATTAGAATGTATTATTGGGGTTTTGACATTGATTATAGAATATCCTAATCTTGTATATTTAAATAGAGGAAATCATGAAGATAAAGAATTAAATACTACATTTGGATTTTATGTAGAAGCAATAAATAAAGTTGGATTAGATATTTATAAAGAAATAACAGAATTATATATTTCTATTCCTTTAGTTCATGTAATTAGAGATTCTGTATTTGTTGTTCATGGAGGAATTCCAATAGAACCAATCAATATTAAAAGAGCACCAATAACAAAAAAAGAAAAATATGAAGAATTTGATATTGAAAATGCATTTTTATGGGCAGATCCTCAAATTAAAAACGGATCATCAAGGTCACCAAGATTAATTGGAAGAACATTTGGACCTGATATTTTATTAAGATTTTTATATGAAAATAATTTAAAATTTATTGTAAGAAGTCATGAAGTTAAAAAATATGGTTTTGAATGGGATCCTACTGGAAAATTACTTTCTTTATTTTCTGCACCAAGATACGAAGGATTGGATAATGTTGGTGCATATGTTGATTTATGGTTTGACCAAGAAGAATCTCCTGAAATTCCACATTTTACAATAAGTACATTTAAGGATTATGATATTAGAGATCATTAATAAAATTAAATTGTTTGGTTTTAAAAATTCATTTGTTTATTTTTAATTAAAAGTAACTTTGAATTTTATGTTTATTTTTTCTTTTTTATATTTGTGTTTTTAATCTTGATTAATTTCTTTTAATTGTTTTTGAATTCTTTCTGTTCTTTTATTTATTAATTCTTCTATTCTTTGGTCTGAAACATAATTATCTAATTCTATATGATTTGGTGCGTCTTCATCTACTTTAACAAGTTCTCTTGTAACTTGATCAAAACTATATCTTTCAATAGGATGTTGTTTCCAACATTTTTGAATTAGTTCTTTTAAACCAATTGGCATAGTATCATCAATAACAAGACGTTTTCCATCAGTGACGTATTGTTTAATATCAAATAAAGATTTAAATTCTTTATAAGGTTCGTCTTGATAAAAAATTTCCCAAGCTGTTATAGCATATGAATACACATCTCCTGCATATGAATATTCATCATGATATGTTTCTGGAGCAGCATAAATTGGTGTACCAAGTCCTTTATCTTCACTTTTATTAGTTTTTTTTACCATTCTTGAAGTACCAAAATCAGTAATTTTTACACAACAAGCAGAATCAGTATATAAAGAATTAACTAATAAATTGTCTGGTTTAAGGTCTAAGTGCATAATTCTGTTTTCATGTAAAAATTGCATTCCTCTAGCAGTATCAAATAACATTCTAATTTTTAAACGATAAGGTAATTTTACATAATCTTCTTTTTCTTTTCTTAAATACTCACCTAATGAACCTAAAACAAAGAATTGAATAACCATTGAAATTTGAGGAATATAAGTAACTGATCCCATATAATTTGCAATAAAAGGATTTCTTAATTTACTCATCATTTCACATTCTGCTATTACTTCATGTTTTAATTCTTCTACTTCTTCTTCTGTTAAATTTTCCCATCTAAATTGTTTTACTGCAACTGGAACACTTCTATAACTTCCAATAAATACTCTTCCCATAGCACCTTCAGCAATAGGATTGTCAGATATATTTAATTCGTCCATATCAATATGAGTAGAAGAAGCAGCATCTGTAGTAATAATGAAGTGGTGATGGTAATGTCTTCTAATATTTTTACAAAGTTTATCTATTTGTAATTGATCATCTTGAGTCCAATTATCAAACGTTTTATTTTTTAAAAGAGAGGCAATAGATTCTAATGTTGATTTTGATTTACTAAACCAAACAGTATAAGGGATTTTCATATCTCTAATTTTTGTAGTACAATGAAGTGTCATATAAACCGTTTCAACTTTTGGAGTAGTGTGAGGTCTTATAAATAATACTTGAGGTTCAAAATAAAATACATATTTTGGATTATTTGGTGTATGAAAAATAATCATCATCCATTTATTTCTTGAATAATTTTTTATTTCTACTCTTTCAAATCGAGTTTCCATTACAATGGTAGCTTCGTTATCATTTCCAAAATCTAATTGAATTGGATCAATTTCATATTTTGCTTCTTTAGAAGGAGGAGTATTAATAGAGCCATTGATATAATAGTGATATACTGGTTGTTGTGTTTTATAAATATTAATATCAATTGTTTTATGTTTCATTATAAAATATATAAATATGCCTAATATAATAATTAAAATAATCATAACTAATATTGAAAGAATTATTATTAATGCAATTCCCCAACTTGGAAATATTTTCTCTCTACATGAACCTGGTTGGTTTGGGTCTGGTTCATATCCATCAATACATTTACAAAACGTATCACAATTAAGTCCACTATCACATTCTTCTGTTCTAAGATATCCATAGATATCATATAATTTATCTATTTTTCTATTTCCACATTGTGTTGAAATACATCTATGTTCTTTTTTATCAACAACCCATCCTAAATCTTTTTGACATTGACAATTAACTAAACACCCTTCACTTCCTCTTAGACACTCTTCATCTTTAGAAACTCCTCCATTAGCACAAGTATCACTCACACATACATTATCTTCTAATTTATATCCATTTTCACATTTACACCATTGATCACAATGATTTGATCCATAATAACATAATTGACTATAATCACTTACTTGCCATGTAAAATTATAAAAACATAATAAATGACAATCATCCCCTCCATGTCCTTCAATACATCTACATTTTCCTTTTTTTGTTGAACAGATTCCTAATTTTGATTCACGATTACATGAATCAATACAAATAGCTTTAAAATGTAAATCAATATCAACATCATTTTCTTGAGTCATTAACGCAAAGTATCTTGTTTGTTCTTCATTTCCTTTTATTTTAACATATAATGAATCTCCTCCATCATCATCACCTAAAACTCCATGTTGATGAGAACACCAAATGTGACGACAAACAGTATCATTTGTAGTTAAACCAATTTGATACTCTTGAAGATAAACTACTCTATTATTATTTGAAGAATCAATTCTAATTGAATAATTTCCATTAAATTTCATTGTAAACAAAAGTATTTTAAATATCAAATTAGGAGAACAAGTAGCATAATTAATCATTCCTTCTTGGCTTAAAGGAAAATGAACAGTTTTTATTCTAGTTAAATCACTTGAGAGATAATCTGCATCTTCTTGTGTAAATGAATAATATGTATTATGAGTAATAGAAGTTGTTTTAGCAATTAATTTAACATCAACTTCAGCATATTCTTCAATATTAATAAAAATATAATACATTTTTTCATCTGAATCAGTAAAAGTATCAACAGCATGAAAATCAAGAGTTGAAGATGGTGTAGTTTTGTTAATAAGAATATGTCCAGAACAATAAGTTATTGTATCAAATGAATTAGAAGAAGATATATCAAGTGATAAATTAATATCAATTTTATTTTCTTTTGAAAGAATAAAGAAAACTCTAGAATTTGGAATTGATGATTTTGGTATTTTAAACCATTTACCAAATAAATATTCTTGACAGTGATGACATGGTGAACTATCTACTATTGAACTTAATCCTATATGAAAATAATTCTCTTTATCTAATAATAATTCTGGTATTGTTGTTGGGTCTGGTATCCATGTAGTTTTAGTTATTATATTAGAACTTAATTGACATCCTGTACTTGTTGGGATATATGCTTTATTACTATTACTATATGGATCTATCCATAAACAATGTTGACATGATGCATCTTGATAATAACCTTCTTTACATTTTCCATTACAAGTATAATTTGCAAAACAACCATCAGTACAACCAACAGAACATTCATAACTATTACTTGAAAAAATAAGAGTTATAAAGATTAACAAGAGAATATTATTACATTTAAAAATCATGACTTAGATAATATAACTTTAGTTCTTTTTATTT